AAAATTTCTTGTACTCTTGCTGAGTGAAATCCAAAATAATTCAACTAAACCAATTCCATGCTGCAGTTTTCACTCAGGATAAATGAAAACACTTGACCACAGGAGAATAGTCCAGAGCAGAACTCTCCACAGTAGAAAGAAATTGGAAATGACCCCAATGTTCATCCACAGGAGAATGGATAACTTGTGGCCTTGCCACACGTGGAATATTACTAAGCGGTAAAAAAGGAAGATGTGGCAAAATATGGAAACAGATGGGTGATTCTAAAATCAAGTAAAAGAACAAACCAGACACAAAGGGCACATATTATTTGAGAGTCTATGAGATTCTAGAAAAGCAAATCCAAACCATAGGGTCAGAATGGAGATGAGTGGCGGGCAGGCAAGGTGGGAGAGATTAATGACACTGGGATGTGAAGGCACTTTCTGAGGGCGATGGAAATGCTCTATGTTTTGATCGTGCTGGTGGTTACACTGTTGTATACATCAGACAAAACCCAGAGACGTGTGTCACTGGGTTATATCACAGGATCACTAGTGACTACTTTTCAGTTTCCTCAGTGCTTAGCCCTTGGGAGGTGCCAGCGGGTGTTAATGCCATTGGCTGCAGTTTCTCTGTGACTCAGCACCCGGGTCCCCCATAGCCGCCCCCCTGGTCTGGCTTGTCCCTATGACATTGGAAACCAGTGGCGATGGCTTGTTGGCAATATGAGTGAAACTTCTCAGCAGCTTCTGGGGGAGGACTTGGATGGTGAATCGGGGCTTCCAACCTACAAGGGTGTGTGTGTGTGTGTGTGTGTGTGTGTGTGTGTAATCTGTGCCTGCTCATAACACCTTTGAGCTCACCCTTTAAGCTCACACAATTTTTGTAAAGAGTAGGAAATTTGAATGAAAAAGTAATATGCTAACGATAGGACAATGTTAGTGTTAAGAAAGAAAGAAAAAATTACCAGGTAAAGGGACCTCTTCTTCATCAAATGAAATTGTAACTGTAAGAAAGAAAAATGAAGCTTAAAAATGTGTCTTCCGAGAGACATTTTTATATCCAAAACTGAAAAAGAAAAAAATGTTTAATTTCTCTAACTTGGGCACTAATATTTTTGTTTCAGTTTCTGCTTTGGTTTGGATACAGAAATACTGATGTTTTACTTCCTTGGCATCAAAATGTGGCATGTGGCAGTGGTGTTTTTCCTCCATAAATGTTATCGCTTGTTAAATGGTCAGAAGGAAGGCTTTACAGTTATACTGAATTTTGGAAGGGAGAAATACAAAAGTATTAGGTTTTATCAGAAAAAATTTTACAGGGGCTGAAAATGCAATGAGGAACATCCAGGCAGATTCCTCAGAAATATTTTTAGATAAGAGAAAATCAAATCTCAGAGGCGTCTATGAAAAAATACAGAGGGAAGAAGGAGGGCAAGTAGCTGGGGGTCAACCTGGCGACAGACAATGACTTTTACCTGGCGATGATGTCACTTTTGCTGAACTCATGTCTATGACTGTCAAAAAAATTTTGAGCATTAAGATTTTGCTTCATCGACATTTTATGTAGCAGACAGTACAGGTTTATCCAGACAGCCTGTTCCATAGACCGTGTGCAATAGAACCCACACGGTGAGTGAACCCACACGGTGAGTGAACCCACACGGTGAGTGAACCCACACGGTGAGTGAACCCACACAATTCTGACACAAACGCAGCGTAAGAAGCTGGCATCTGCGAGGGCCACTAACAGCAGCTCCCATTTCCACACCCACGGCTTGTCATGGGCTTGACACTCCTCATCCTACGACAGTGCCAGGGGCTGTCACTATCC